GTTTTTTCGCTAAAACATATTACAAAAACATCTATATGACCTAAAATTTGTATTCTACAATTGAATAGCTATTTCGCGCATAGAAGTTTCACTTTGATATTGACCCATTTAGTACTGGTATATATATATAATATTTATTTGAGCCAACTCCCGTTTGATACATGAGTCGGTTGCGGCTAGACCACCATAGGAAACCTGGAAGCATTGGACGACCGTTTAGTCCTAACGTGGGACTCCTCAGCAGTGCGCATCCACGACCTCGCCCCCTGCGAGACTCGAACCCAAGACCTACTGGTTTCGCGCCCGAGCATTTAACCACTAGACCACAAGGCCGGTATCCAACGGTGTTAATGTCTAACTTCAACTAATCCACGAATTTAAGCGACACATCCACCATGGTCTTCAGTAGTTACTATCTCACAACAGACCTGGTTGAACTCCACTGGTCACTACTTCTCACTAGAACTCCAGGATATACATCTTGAAGCCAGTCACTAGTGCGCATATGTTGATTAATATCAGATGGGTTTTGTGGATATTATAGTAATTTCAGTGGTTGAGATCATGAGTCAGACTAGCTTCAACTGACGGTCGTCCAGTGCTTTCAGGTTTTCCATGGTGGTCTAGCTTCAACTGACTCTTGATCTTAACCATTGAAATTACTATAATATCCACAAAACCCATCTGTTATATTGAAATCTTGCTCTAAAATCCGTTTCATTCTGTGTGTCATCGTTATACATTTTCATGAACTTCTGAAATCTAGTGTAAAAATACGTGCATCCGTAATTAAAATAGAATCCCGATTTGTCCACAGCAGATAACAGACATTTAAAAGCTAAAATTATTAGTGACCTGTATGTATAGCAGTGACCTTCTGAATGATACACTTTACTTTCACTGGCCCACTGATAAATGGAAACTTGGACTTTCCTATTTTCGGTTATTTCTCGAATGATCAACTTGAAATGTACAATTTTAGTTCAATTTAGTAAGTGGAATTTGATGTACGCTAATGCAATCTATAAATAATTTTCTACCGCAATAAAGTACGTCTAGAGTTTGTTGTTTATAAATGAAGAAGGTTAAATCGCAAAGGTAAGTAATGTCTAGTTTTAGTTTAGATTTTGGTTAGAACATTCATTGTTTAAACCGCACCTATATATATATATATATATATATATATATATATATATATATATATCCACCCACCATTGTATAATATAGCTATATATTTAAATACATTTTCATAAACACCTATCTACAATATACAATCTGTTACTTAAAGATTACAGTTATATACAGCATCTGTCGTGATTCCCCTACACGGGTGGTGGGAAATAATCGTCTAGACTCTTAACATGTACACAACCCGTAACTCAGTCAAATAATCCCAAAATTTTGTTGTCTAATCATACAGACAGATTGAAAACTATATTCGTCTTCTGTTAATAACTGAATATGGAGGGATGTTGTGGCATTTTCAACTCTAGAAGTCATCATTTCTCCACATCAACAGATCTATGATGCTGTATTATAACAAAACGCAAGAGATTTGCAACAAAATATTCACACTTTCTATTCTTAGAATATAGATTGTTAGTAATTTCAATGTCATATATTCCATGGAAACTTATTAACTCCCGGTTGCAAATACTATTGGATAGCTCGGAATTGTTGGCGGTAATGTTAAAATGTTCACACGCTCATGCCTTAAATTTTGATTATCAGCCTATAATTCGTATTCCATTCTATTGCGTTGAGTTCTACAGCACAACGCTTTCTTACCTTTATATCAGTAAGCGAATGACTATACAATTTTAACAGACCGCTGATAATATCACTAACTTTTCGTCAATCATCTCTACGATTTACACTATTACTAGGTCTTTTAGTGTGAGTTTATAGGCACATTCAGCTCAGTAGAATAAACCTAGGCCCATCTCATCCCAATTACTATGGCCACTAAGTCCCCCACTTTTATTACCTAAGTTTTCACACTACTGTTCAGAAAAACGTTGACCATCGTAGAAAACTGATATTATACTTATTATCCAGAACCAAGCTAATCGATTTATTGCCTTCAAAAATAGATATCTTATCGATGGACAAAAACAGAACTAGCTTTTGTGCTAACAGCTATGAAAAAATATGGTCAAGACTTTTCCACAATTGCCAGAACCGTTGGAACTAAATCAGAAAGTTTCATACGTGATTTCTACAATACATTTCACGACCGTTTCACATTGGACAGCATAATAAAGTAAGTTATGTTTTGGTATTTCAAGTTGACAAACATTAAAGGAACAGCTGCAGCGGAGATTAGTTTTCCCCATTTGTTGACGTGAACGATAATTGATTATATAGACTTTGTTACGCACTTTCAAAACTCATTTTTCTCAAAACACATCGAGTCCCATTTAAGGTTGTAATGAACCACGTTGATTGTGCTTGTGCATACATCTGTTGGCTTCATATAGAAGGGTCTGTGTTTTAGCTAAACCCTCATTACTTAAATAAAAGTACCACTGAATGAAATGTTCTTGTCCACAAAAATACACACCGTAACTCTTCACTGTAGTTCATCTAAATAAAGAAGGATGAACCTTATAAAGTCTTGCATAGTGACGTAGTCCTACTGGTTGTCTTTAGAACATTAGTGTATCCACTCACAATTCATTGTGTAGCGAACTCAGACTACAGATTTCAAAACGGTCGTGTAAACAACTTATAATGCCGATTTATATATTTCAGTACATAATTATATAAATTTATTTGGGAGTATCTTAATAATAAATACTAAACCTTTTACTATATTATACTTCATTTAAATTCAGACCATGCGCGAAAGCAAATGACAAGCTCACTGAACCTCCAACCATAGACCGAAAGCCCATGTACCAAGAACCCTTGGTTGTTGTCACACAAGATTTGCCTAAAAAATTAACGGATGAAACACCAACCATACCTGTTGATGGAAAGAATGAGCAAGATTCTGTACAAATACCTGAAGTACGAGACATTAAACACCACAATTTGAAAAATGAGTCTGATGAACTAGATCGCTCAACATCGCAAACACTTGATAAACATGGAAAAAAGGAAAGTAGCGGCATACGGCTGTCATCACGACGGCGTACAGCATCATCTAAATTTGTTACCCCTGAGGTCCTATCACACAACCGTCAAAACGAATCACCGCCAAGCTCCCCACCACAAGCCGTCAGCAGAGGCAGGGGAAGAGGACGAGCCAAACGCTTAAGACGCAGCTAGTTTCCATCGAACTTGAACATTTCTTGATGCAAATTCTTTTTTCTTCATGACTTGCCGAATGTTTTTAACACTTATAACCGCGCTTACATGGAAAGTTGAAAACAGCGAACAGTATTTGTGGTGTCCATTCTGATACCTTATTTACAAATGTAGTCGATGTTTTTTTTATTTTGTCACATACACGGGCCTCAATATTTCTTAAATGAGTACTTTGATGTAGCAATATCTAAATATATGTTATTAATAATCATGTTTTTATTTACACTGGACCAACACTTCATATTGAGATAGTAAACATTACTACTCGTTACAAGTCCCGAGACTGCTTGATATGGATGCGTATATCTAGATTTCCTATAGGAAACTGTTAAGATAACATTTCTACTAGATTTAGAGTATCATGCGCCCCTTTATCTGCAAAACGATTTACAACAGGACCGGTACAGTAGAGCTCTGAATACTGATGTGAGGTTTTAAATGTTTACACTTGATCTTAAAATATTATACGCATACTTTTCTCTCTGTCTAAATGCAAGTTATTGCTCCAGGACTGGTCTGGGTCAACACCTGAAGGATAAGGAGTGAAGTAGTCGAACGCGCTGACAACTTCACTTATCTTGGAGGTCTGATCAGCCCTAGTGGTTTGGTGTCTGACGAAATCTCTGCACGGATTCGAAAAGCTCACCTGGCTTTTGCCAACTTACGTCACATATAGAGAAGGCGAGATATCCGTCTATCAATTAAAGGACGAATATACTGCGTGGCAGTCCGTCCTGTTTTAATTTACGGCAACGAAACATGGCCATTAAGAGTAGGAGATAACCGCAAGCTACTAGTAGTTGACCACAGATGCCTAAGGAATATTGCTCGCATCTGCTGGGATCACCGGGTAATAGTGAGATTAGATGCAGGGTATAAAGGAACGATGGTAAATCAGTTGATGAGGTCTTGAATCTTCATCGAATGAGATGGTTGAGCCACGTGTTACGTATGCCTGAACACCGATTATCACGACGTGCAATGCTAAGCGGTGTTGGGGATTGTTGGAAGAAAGTTAGGGGCGGCCAAACCAAAACGTGGCATCAGTGCTTGAAGTCACTAACTTCTAGTCTGAGCCATGTTGGGAGATGCAGACTACTTGATTGCGGTCCGCGTGACTATCATAACCAATGGTTGGAGACTCTTTGTGACATGGCTCAGAATCGATCACAATGGCGTAGGTGTATACGCTCTCTGTCTTCCCTTAAACTAAGAGTTTAAAGTCGCTACACAACTTTCTTTCTACCAACTAATTCTTTCTTCCTGTACTATATCCTTATATGCAATCTTTCCTTTATTTATAACCACCTCTGAATTAACTACTTTTATGAATCCGGTGTTCATCTTGTGTTAATGAAGTATGGCAACTTGGACCGATGCATATATGTGCCTGGTCCTACGTTGTAGCTGACTGACTGATACGCATACTTACGTGCCATATTAATATCTTTGGGGATATACCAGTCCGTAAGCTTCCTTGCACAGAGCAAAAAAGCTACATGATCCACAATTGGTGTCACTGACAAGAATACCAAGCAGCAGTTATGTTGCTCTTTTCGATAAAGTTTAAAAACACCAATGGATCGAAAAAGTTGCTTATGTTAGAGATTTCGAACTGTAAATTAAGATCTGCTAGTTTTACCCATTACCAACAGGATTCACATTTATCAATTCCGTTAGTCTAGTTGTGACAAAATCCAACATGTGTATGAGCAGGGTTAGAGCCGAAATCCCATTGCTAAACAATAACCCAAACCCAATGCGTGCATAGCCAGCAGTATCTATTCAATAAGACCGAAAAACCTCTGTCAGAATTCTTCAAGTCAAATGTGGTTAAAATGCATTTACATTCGTATGGATCTTAACCTTTCCATAAAGGAGCGATAACGTACATTTTATGACAGAAATTTTTCATGTAGATATTGCTGCAGCATGGTTCTTAATAAATATTGTCGTACGTTAACCTGAAAATGTTCTTACAGTACGGAGCAGAAGATAAAGAAAGTGTTAATGCAGGCAAATTACTTACACAGATATGCAGGCGTAAATTTGGGAAGTATTTATCAATTATAATAAATTGAAGAATGTAGTGAAAACATCAAACCAACTGAAGACAAATAATGTAAATCAGAAAGTGTGATGAAAATTCTTTTACAGTCATAGAACCGAAAATGCTCAGCGAAAAAAATTTATGGTAACGTTTACAAAATACGATGTTGCTGAAAAGACAAAGAGAAGTTTCTACTTAAAATGAATTGTTGGACACGAAAAATTTACTGTCATTCATTTGAGTATGGTCAGTCACAGGAATATAAAAATGAGAAATACTGTTTTGAACAATATCCATCGCAATTTTAAAATCGTCCGTTCACAGTACTGCAATAAACTATGGATCCATATTAGAAAACACCCAAGATCATTTGGTTTTACAAATTTGTGCAGGCAGACTGATATTTGTCAAGATCGTTACATTATTTAAAAAGATCAAATGTATAATGCTAGTTAAATTGTAATTAAGCAGACAATGTACTACAAGGAGAAATATACTGACAAAACATTAAATGCATTTAAAGCAGGTATGACACAAAACAATCGAGGAATTCATTAACAAAATAAATGATAATTTCATTTAATGGAAATTATTACTGGTGTCCATGCGCTCAGGTGATACCGGGGTATCAAGAAATATAAGTGTTTAGACAGATTCCTCTGTTTAGATCATATCTTTCAAATAATGGCTCCGCGAAACATATACACTGATAGGCGGGTGAGACATGATTCGAGGGCAATCAACTTAAGGATAAGATACACATTCAAATCTAAAAAGGGTTTGTAAATTGACATGCAGATATTGTGTAGAACAAAATGGTAATAATAATGGTGCACAAACAGAAACCAGTACACTGCCACCTGATGGCTGCAGTTTTCGACAAACGGGAGGGTAGTTGCACTCGACACGATCCGCTTAGGACATTTGACTGAACGAATATTCTTGCTGGAACGCAGAAAAAGTGGATCATAATTAATTTTTGGGAAATAATATAAAAAAATAACAGGCAGCTTCTCCGTTAAATTTTAACGCAATATAAAACCTAATTGTATATACGCTAAATCGCTAGAAAATGTGTTGTCAACATATATTGAGCTCATCCACATTAGGTGACGTTGTCGCTTGAGCTGAAACGTTACTTTTCTTGACCCTTAGAATATGAGGATTGTTTCGATGCATCTTCACAACGGTCATTTTAGAGATGCATATACTATTATTATTGTCATCATTACATATTCATGGATTTAATCATAATGAGAGTGAAGGTAAGCGAATATTGATTTAATTCTGATATCTATGCTACCTAGGTATATTTCTACACGTTAACACAGTAATTTATGAGTGAACCAAAAACCTTTCAGTCAATGAGTTTACTCTTCATATTTACGTACTAAATTTGAGGTTTATTTAATACCACTTAGTCTCGAAATGAGCATCCCGTTATTTTACGAACGCATCCTATAAACATCGCTCAATGGCAAAGTACAGTAACGAACCATGAGCAGTAATTCACAGTACTATTGACTCCCACACTTTGTCTTAGACACCAGGATTCCAACGTGGATGAAAATTTCAAGCAGAAAACTGACATTTTGACAGATCCGGAAATTCAGTGGAAAATTTTTTGAAGCTCCAAGCATGCAAACATTCTTCACAATTTTGTCACACTAAAATGTAGAGTTTACTAGTGATGTAAACGCTTGCAACTCTTCCGGTACAGAATTGTGTACTTTGAGCAACATTTTAAATACAGCAGCTAGTGATACTACGCCATTGCTCAAATCAAACTAGGAGCGACGTTTAAACTTGGTGACCGAAGGTCGAAAGCTTAACGTCATAATCCATCGCTACACGAAGTTACTAAAACATGAGCGTGACCAAAAATGTACAACATTTAAATACTTGTAGCACGACGTTAGTCAGTAAGAAGCTCAACTCTATTCGATACATTTCATAGCAACTGACTGGATAATAAAAAACTCAGTGCTGTGTAAAAAGATCAAATTTAATCTGAATAGTGATGGTAACCATGAAAACTTACTGGAAACTGCACAGAACCCGGACCGCCAGCTGGACTAGGATTAGATCCCCCACAAACGGACTGCATGGACGATGGGGGACCCCCACCTGACCCTGAGTGCTGACCCCCAGAAGGAACATACTGAGGAGGAGGCGGAGCTTGGCCTTGCGGTCCACCACCCATATGCTGTTGTAAAACACTTTGCTGTTGCGGCGGAGGCATCATCATAACAGAATCTCCTGGGAACCCACTGCTGCCTTGTCCAGGTCCGTTGCCACCAGGGCCATTGCCGGAAGGGTAATCAGAGGGCATCAATGGGGGAGGGCCTCCAGCTGGACTTACCATGTCACAACCCATTCCAGGACCCCCATGTAACGGCGAGGCTTTGAGATCAGAACCGGGTGGGTAAGGGTTTGATGCAGAAGAAGGCATACCACTTGAGTAGTCTGGGGGAGGAGGGGGCATCATTCCGCTGCTACGAGGAGGGCCCACAGAACCATTTAATAATCCAGAGTCACTGCATCCGGGACCTGTACCAAACATACCGTTATCAGGAGTAGAGCCAGGTCCTCCACCACTAAAAACAAGATGTGGAGAAGGTCTTGCAGCATATTCTGGAGGGAGACAGGAATTTGAAGAAGGTGGTGTTTGTTGTTGTGGTGGTGGTTGACCACCCATATAATGTGGCGGTGTAGGATGATGTGGATGACCTGACATTCCACCTCCAGACGGCTGGTGATCGTTAGACTGAAGTTGAAAAAAGTTATCATACAGAATGAGGTAGGCGGACATTTGTATATATACAGCAATATAGTCAACGATGTCACCAATTACTGTCCACTAAAACAGTACTATATTAATAAGAGATAGTTTGAGCTTTATAAATATAGGTGTGTATGGTTAAAACCTCTTAATTACGAAGGGAAAGCTACTGCTAATCTAATTTATGGTTTTCCCTTAATTTTATCTCGATAACCCATTAAAAATGGTTAATTATGGGTTCCTTTAACTTGTACAAATCCAAAGACGTACTACTAACATATATTTGTAGCTAACTCGTGAATAGCTTAGATAAAATTCATTTGTTTACATTTAAATGAAATAGGAAATGAAAAATAAGACCATACTATTAAATCATTAGTTACAATTTATCAAGTGACAAAAAGATGAGAAAAACGGTCATGAATACGGTGATAAGCTAGAATATACAGTAAAAGTAAAATGTGTTACGGAAGTCAATCATGAAAAACAAGGATACAATTACTTGATCGAATGTGTAAACATTTTTGATGTACCATGACGCTAGAATTATCTTGAAAATACTGTTAAGTTTTTTGCTTACACCCACCGAAGTGACGTCATGGGTTAGGAAGCCATACTTTACATACAAACTATTTCCTTTCCCTCATTAGTAGCTTGGACTTACTTTTCTCAATAACGAATAAAATATGGACGAAGTATATTGCAGTTTTGAATCCTGTAGAATTAGTAAAACCGTGTACAAATAAGACCATCTTCTTTTTGTGAACATGGGCTAAAGGAACTGTTTTTGTCACATAATGTTGCTTAATTTTAGACTACCGAATTTTGTTATGTCCGATCACCATTCTCATAAAAACAGAATCATTCCATATGAAGCCTGTGTCTATACAAACTATATATTGAACCACGTTTTACACTGAAACACAAAATCAATTTAAACTAAACTAAAAATAATTAACTTTAATTTAGTATTTTAAACAACACGTCCGGAGTATTAAACCCCGTAAGTATTACATGGAGAAACTACTGAGGGAGCCATTACATCATTTTACATAACTGTTAGCATTGTGAACATTTGAATACCTTACATGAACTATGGACAGCTATATAAATGACTGACAAATTGGAACCACTGAAAATTTTACACTTTACATCCATATTATACTATATTAATATAATTACATAGTCGCTCTAGTCTTTCGAAAACGAGATGTCATAATAATTTACCCTGAAAAAAACAACCCAGAGTAGTATTTGGGACATTTAAACATTTACCTGATTGTTGATGGGACTAGGAGCAGCAAGATGAGGAGCGTGTTGAGTTGGTGTACCAGGATGACCGGGACTAGGAACTATACCACTGCCTCCACACGAACCCGGACCGACACTTCCAGGTCCAGTTGACGATACTGAATTCGGCCCAGCCGATCCTGAACAAACTGGAGGGCCACCGCCTTGTTGGGGAGGGCATGGAGGACCACCTGCCTGTTGTGGAATAGATGGACCGATCCACCTAGGACGAGGGTGACCTACAATGGCACCGGGTGGGTGATGATGAGGCATCATAGGGTTACCGTGCATGGGATGTGAAGGACCCGAACCTGGCAGTAAATTTGCATGTGGAGGAATCATACTACTACCGACAGGAATACCTGGATATCCACCTGTACCAGGTTGATGAAATCGTACTGACGGATGATGAGGTGAAGGTCCTTGTAAACCAGGTCCTGGATTTTGAAGAGCACTGGCTGTCATTAAAGGTGGTCCAGATGGCCTTTGTCTCATTGATACTGGGTCGGGTCCAGGGGGTCCGAGTGGAGGAGGCATTCCCGGTCCTGCTCCACCAGGACCACTGACACTCGGGGGGCCAGACATAACAGGGTGATTGGGCTGTCAAATCAGATAAGATATAATTAAATCGACTTGAATGAAAGATGAATTCATTTCTAATGAGAATCGACGTCAAATCAAAATGCAAAAAAATGTTTTATAATACATAGTACTGAAAAATTTTATTTATCAAGAACATTCAACATAAAGAACCCTAAATTTAATTCGACTAGATATAACTTGGATTTGAATCAACCTAAATGTGAGGGCTTGAGATAGTACTCTGTTTCTTAAACCGGAGTACGTGAAGTTGGGCCTAAACTTAAAACTTAGTGGCTGTAAGTTGAACGCCTTAGCCTTGACGCTACTACCCTACTAGGTGATGATCAACTCGCATACAATATACGACATTAAAGATCATCGATAAGACATTCAACTTTCAACCAATAAAACTCAGGTCTGAACCCAGTTCCAACCACTACATTCTGGGCAAACGAAGTGTCACTAGACTCCACACTTTTTGACTGATCAATATACCTGATAAATTAATGTAAATGTAATCTAAAAGTCTGGGCATTTTTTATTTGAAATTTTTGTTGTAGAGTACATTCAAAAAAAATCCTCAGACAATTATGGGGAAAATACTGAGTTAATCAAAAGTATCTAAATAATGGTTCTGCCGATTCATAAGGCTGTTCACACTTTAAATAGACAGGATAATCGCAAAAAAACTTGTTACTATAAGCATTTCCAAAACACTTGAATGAAATATGTAGAATACGAACCATTCGAACAAATACGGCTAAACATAGACAATTTAAATAATAACTTTGCCATACGTTACCAAGTAGCGAACTATTGACTAGGGCGTTTCTAGTCATGTAATATAACTTTTTTAGCTAGGGAGACTGTTCTCGATTAGCGGAATCAAGCACCGACTTCATGTCAAATAAAATACTTTGGTTTGAAATTCCCAATTAGCTAGTCTAGTTATCTAGGTTGGCAGTTTTTACACTGATGGTATTTGCACTTAAGGAATATGGCCTCGGAATAAAGCGCGGCTGCCAATATTTAGGGGTGGAGCAAGCAACCACACAAGTTGTGGTGTGAAACTAGTGAATGTTAACAACACGGATATATTTAAACCACAGTCAGTAACAACGTAGAGCTTCGTACGTATGTACATAAGTTCGAGTTGCCATACCACATTAGCACAGAGATGCAGTTGTCGACTCAAATCCCATGATGATAGAGGCAGTAAAAACATAAACAGTAATCGGAAACACTATGGTTTAAAGATGTTATTCAAGGAGTATAATACAGTGAAATAAATTTGGAAAGAGGAAAAAAGGGACATGAATAATTCAGAAGATTAGAATAATTTAAACCACAGCTTTTGATTGAGTACACGAATCTGCATATGAATATTCACGTGGATGCTGTTGAAATTACAGATTACTTCACTTTATATTAAGCTAAACTACATCTATGGTTAGTGTGTTCAGTACATGTTTCAGACGTACAAGCAGATATATAACCTTTCTGTTTCATACTCTTTGGGTGGATGAGGAAGAAGAAGAGAACCCGTTTCCTCATAGTGGCTCTAAACTAGACATTTAGTTTGGGTGGTACTAAGAATGTGGGAGTTTAACAGATGTATCTGAACCAAGAAGTTGGTCTAACGTAAGGGGAAAATTTAGAATACTGAAACTATATGGTTAGGTTTTACAAGACCAGATACATGTATACGTAATATATGCTTTGACCAGATGACAATAAAACAATATGATCAATCACCCGTACCCAGTCTATGACCATTGATGAATATACTAACCTGCTAGTGATGACTTAAATATCTTGAATCAATGATAACTATCAACTTATTTAGGATGTAACAGATATGAAACTAGTGAGTGTTAATTTGATTAAAATCCTAATATACGGTACTGAAGAAAATGAACTTGAAACCCCCTCCCCAAGGTACTGAAATAACAAAGAAAGAATACATTTACCCTAAGAATTTGGTGTTTGTGACGATTTGGATATTACAAAAACACTAGCAGTTTACTAAGCGGTAGGAATCAAACGATATTTCTCCCTTTTAAAACACCGTAGATATGATTGAAATCTCCCAGCCCAGCATGACACTAACAATATCGTTACCGAGTATCGATATTATTCTTTCGAGATCCTAACGGTCGTTTACCGTATAGCGCTCAGACACAAAAATTGGTGACAGGCAGAATATTTGAGACAACAAAGGAAGAGAGAGGTACACTTGGAAAACTATTCATCCAGTAACAAACCTCGTGATAACGTCATCAGCCATGAAGCCGACTGGCTGAGGCAAAGCCAATAGAGTAGCACAAACAAAAGACTACAGATAAACGGTCGAACTTACATGTGGTAATCCATTTGGGTAACCCGAATTCACAAAACCCTATGATTTTAGAGTTAGGCCATAAAAGTGCTTACATAGTCGTGGAATGCTTTGGCTTCGCTTGAGTGCTCATGTGTATCACGTCTTTCAGGAGCCGCACTGTACAGGTCCCAAAATACACTAACCAAAGTAAAGAAAAAGAACTAAACCTACCTCCACCATGAGTGCAAAAATCCAGGAGGCTCGCCGACGCTTATTGATTTGTCCCACCGGATCTTAAGTAACTGCATTACTTAAGAAGACATTACCTCTTGGAGAAAAGAATTAGCTGTCTTTTGTGCCCCAATGTGCACAAGGTACTCGTAAACATACACCGCCAATCTACAGCAATAAACTGAATTCTTAAACTAACTTCTCTTTAGACTGAGCATCAGACGGAATCCCAACCGACTTGTTCTTGCCATACATTATTGCCAACTTAATCACAGATTGATAAACAACATTTTTTAGTGGTAAAGAACAAAGTCTTAACGTATAACATGAATCCACCTAGAACAGATTGCAAGCGAAATTCGACTCTCAATGGTTGAACGAACGATATAAACAAAATTGAAAGTACGAAATATTCCTCGAAACTGAAAACCCAAATAAATAGGGAGGAAATATAATTGAAGTTTTGAGATAATACAAAATCTTACGTTATAACAGAAATCTCATGTTAAGCTTTTGATCATATCATGTATGGTAGTACTTTCAATGTTCCACTGGACCTACAAGGCAGTTCCTGCTGTAACAAACGTTCTCCTTAGTTGCTTTTTGATAAGTGGTATTTCCTGATTAAACCATATTGCGTCCTAGGAATTTTCATTCGTCTTCTAATTTTTCAGGGAATAAATTAACATATACAGTATGGAAGTCTGCAGCTTTAAATTGTAACCGAAAACAAATAGTTCGCTATTTCTTCGACACTGGTGCGGACTTTATTGGTTTTACTGGACGCACCTAGTTGAGGGAGCCTGGTCACTTTTCCATACCAAATCACGAGTGGGCACACCGTGCTACGCTTAATTTGCAACTTCTAGTCAGCTTTGATCAAACTCTTCTCGTTGCATCGACAGGTCTGTAACTATATCTTCGAACTCCTTTATTTTTGAATTTTCACGTGACTGGGTTGGTGTACTTCTATTATAAAATAATTACATGTCAATGAGTTGTCGAAATTCGAATACCTGTGTCATCCTTACGTCTTAGAATGTCTACTCAAAGTTAACTATTTATCGTTTTCCTCATTAGATAAATATACTGTGTCCAGTTCATTTGTTCTTACAGCCTCAATAACTGTGATCGTCCGATAATTTTCTGGACTCCACATAATTACCTGACCAACCCAATCGTTAGATCGAAATTGATATCACTGTGAATAAAGTTATGACCAGCTGAACCGCATCAAATAGTGCCAGTCGATTTCGTTGCCAAATATCTTCGAGATGATTTTAATTAAGTTTATTCGGATTAGTCATACACAACAAAGATTTCTGTTGTCAGTGTTTCATTGCATCATCATTTTTTATAACAGGTTACAATAACAGAATTCGGAGGCTAATGAAATTTTGTGATCAACCTTTCTCTCGTAGGTACGAACTTCAAGAAAATGGAAGACTCAGTAACACCCGTACCTTCGGGTATGATTTGTTAATTACTTTCAGATCGCTTGAGAACCAACAACCTTACTTATTTTTGCTTCTTCATATTTCAAAACTTCGTAGTCAGAGTTGCTTTGACCAAATACGTCAGTGTTTGTCTGATACTGACGTCATCGATAGTCCTGGAGGTTTGGACGCTTAACTCTATTTGTTGGACATCTATATTCCTGTCGTATGTGATCATGATAATAGGCTTAAAGTGTTGCAAGATATGAACAACCCAGAAGTATCTAAAACTTCTCTTAAACTGATAGATATCGCACACTCAGTTAAGTATTGCTTATATTGTTGTTTAGTGGGACATGTTGCGGTTGTATTGATTACTTCGACCAGAATAGTTGCACAAGTCCTACTGTTTGTTCGATTTGTCATTTTAGGTCAAAAAATTTTGGTTCTTCCCTGTACTTGTTGCACAGCATATCAGACACGAGTACGTGTAACTCCAGCTCTTGACATAACGATTAAAAATTGTTTAATTTCTAGACAAGCCACCAATTCTTACCGCATTTAAATTTGTTGTGCTTATTCGTTACGTAAAAAAACTGACAGTAACGGACAATGACCTACAACAACTTGGTACATAATCGCAATGTGCCTTAGTTTCGTGGGCATAGCACTTTCCATACAACGGTGTGATCAATCTAATGTCTTCTTTGATATAACTTGACATTCAAATTGATCATAAAACAACAAAATCTGACATTTCATGAAAAAAATGACCTAGAAACCTGACTGTATGTAATAGTAAAATGTTCCTCAGTAGTGTTTAAGCAGGTGTCTCTCCCATGGTTTTGTGTATCTCTATGTTTGCAGCGTTCGCGACTAGCGAACATGCCTGTATACGTTCATTTTTGTGTTGTTCGTTTGAATCTTCCCATTAATGTTTAGGACTGCAGTAGGTCAGTTTTATTGGCTCATGTACATCCTATGAGGATTGCCCCGATAGTCTCTTTAGTCACAAGCATTGTAAGCAAATATAGATGGTGGCTAACGGTAGAATCCAGAACGCATGTTCCTCTCTATTCCGGACTCTTCAGCTGATTTTACATTCATATCAGATTAGATACTCGTAATGGGACTCGAACCCAGTACAGTTCACTTAGAACTCCATCGCACTATCCACTTAACTACTGAATCCAGATGGCCACTATCTCGAGATATGGGCTAAGGTTTTAATACATTTTGCATTGGTTGTTCACAACTTTTCACTGATGTTTAGGACTTCAATTGACCAGTCCCTTATAGACACATATGCATCTTGCGCGTATTGCCTCAATATTGCCTTAGGTCAAAAGCATTGTAAGCAAAGTGGCTATCTGAACTAGCTAGGTGGATAGCGCGTTGGTGTTAAGAGCGAATGTGACCGGGCTCGAGTCGTGGAGTGAACAACCCTGGAATGCAGGTACATCTAGCTGACGCGTCCCGAACAGAACGAAACATGTGCCCCGGATTCCACTGTTAGATACTATCTCTCCTTTCTTACACTGTTCGTACACAGTTCAGAAGTACACAGAATTACAACTAGATTTACATATATTCAAATTTACTTTTTCGACAACAAACTATCGCTCTAGGTAACTAGCTATCGTAACTGTTACTGCTACTACTGTCACCATTGTTGAGGAGCATCATATGATGTTTTTCTAGAGATTACAGACCTCCAAAGATGGCTTCGGGACATAACCCAAGTGTCACGAAACTTTTGAACACATTACGTATATAAACTGGTATTCTTCATCGTAAAAGTAAACGATCTGCATCTAGGAAGTTCCATATTCTTCAAGTGAGTCAGTAATGGCCATTCTGGTAGGCTCACATAGATTAATATTTAGTTGCCGATTAACTTCTGATGTGAAAAGTGCGTTATTTGGTATCTGGAGTAGCCTTGAATTTCTTCAAGATGCGAAATGCATTGCACAAGTCTCTCAATATAGTTTTTGGGTCACTATCTTTATTATTTTTAAAAACGACAATTTACAACAGTCGTTATATGAGCTTCTTTCAGCTAACAAAGCAAGGAGATACTAGAAGCTCTACAACTGTGCGAAAGATTAGTTCGTGACAATTAAAATTATTCTCAAACATTTGGTGATTTTAAAACAACAATGTGTTCGTTTTAGACGGTTAAAAATGCAAAGCAGCTTATTAATAACACTGTGCAAACAAGCACATCACTTGAACAGACTTCCACTACAATCGTAGCTAATGAATGAAGATTTAAGTTCTTCAGCACATCCAGACTTACAGTCATTTTCTAAGTTATGTGTGATAAGAGGGACTTCTAAGGTTTGAAAATAGGCTGATTATCGGGGCTCGTTCAGCCTCAGTGATGTACAAATCGAAAATTTGTATCCATCCCGTAAGCGCCCACTTGAATGCGGAATCTAACAAGATGAAATGCTATTCATTCAATCACAGTGACTGTCAATCTATCATCGATAGATGACAAAGGATATTATATCTCTCCACATTAGACTACAGCAGACGCGTTAGTGTTTAGCTCCTGTTTTCATCTTCAAACTGATAGAACAATATAATGTTGACGAAATAAATGTTAAATTTGACTTCGTACATATTCTATGGACGTGCTCCGTTGATAGCAAGGTAGATGTGAAAAGCTGAATAAGAAAGCGTCTTGTTAGTATATATTTCGGATATTCGATAATCTAGATGATAGGTAAATAATAAGGAGAGATCCATCCGAACTGGAGTGGCAGAAATGGCCTACTTGACTTTTCGGGAGGTGATTCAACATTTATATTAAGAAAGGAGACGCAGGCGAGACACATGTGACGAGAAGTACCCTAAAAATAAACATGCATAAATAGGCTGACAAGGAAGAATAGGTTTATAAATAATGACTTAGAACGATAACATAACTTTGTACAAAGGTCGGAACAATATACGTAGGCGTGTGATCACAAAGAAAGTACGACAACTGGTCCCAACAGAATATTGGAATGTTACGTCCAGGTTTTGCCCGTTCCAGTTATTGAAGTACGGACTATCGATCTACTTGCAAATTACGAACCCAAATTAACAACAGAACCAATTTCCAATTTAAATACCAAATTTATTCGTAATTCACAAATAATCGACCAAATGTCGTTCTAACAACAATAATTATAACAATTACAAAACAAACCTTCAATTTTGTAGGTTCCCGGAGCAAAACCCCCAAATACCAAACCAAAGACAAAGAGAGCACCAAAATACCAAACCAAGGACAAACCAAAATGTCCGAAATAATGATATAAACAAACAAGTTCAAAAGTTAAGTAAAACAATTACATCCAAAAGCACAGTAAATTATTAATGTACAATAAAAGGTTTTAATCCGTCAAAAGTTTTCAGTTCTCCCGTAACAGGAATTTAATGGAAAGATAACATGCACGCTAAACGGATGAATTTATAACGCTGAAATATCGTCCCTAAAATACAAAGTGTATTGACTATATATGTCTGTGGTGAGCGGCATGATATTATGAGCGAAGTAATACCCGTATAATAAAATTAATAAGATTGATTTCAGTTGCTATTCATTCTCTTCATATCTGCTTCTAGTTCTCGACGCAGTGTGTTGGTCTCACTCTTTTCCGTTTCCCTTCTGAGCAAGCGGTTACCTCGTGTTGAAGTTTGATGATTTTCTCAATGTGTGACCTGTTCACTTCCAACGTCTCTTCCTAATTTCCTCTTCCGCCGGACAGTGATTTGTTCTCTCCCAAATTAAGCCGTTGCAGATTGCATTCAGCCAACGGACACTGAGTATATTATGTAGACAACTGCTTAAAAATACTTGTACCTTTTTGATAATGGTTGTGGTAGTTCTCCAAGTTTCATCCCCGTAGTAGTAGAACTGTCTCGAGATTCGTATTAAAGATTGTGACTTTGATATTGGTTGACAGATTTTTGAGTTTCATATGGTGTTCACTTGTAGAAATGTAGTGCTTGCTCTGCCAATCCTCGAAGTCGATCTAAAACGAATGTTCAAAAGCTCACCAAAACTAATATATTTGTTTAAACCAAATAAGTTGGTAAATATGATA